TTACACACATTTCCATTTCAGACGCCATCCTGTCAGAGTGCCCCTCTGCTGCCATCTGTTACACACTAACAGCACGTACTGGGGCACTGTCAGGAAGGTTCCACCTCTACTGCCAAACCACCAACGTCTGCCTCTGATGGTGTGGGACAACAAAATGAAATAGGCTGCATTACTTTTGGAGCACCCTTTATATTTGCTGAAACTACACACAACTTTCACTACTACTATCTAGTAGTCTCAACTGCTAGACACGGCTTCAACAGCTTACAAGATACTCTATTTAGCAATCAATTTACACATTGTATTGCAACAAAAGAGACTGTCCGATCATTGCTCTAATCCTAAATTGAAAATTCCAAATACTAACAACAAAAAAATCCTGCTCTTCATCCACCAACTTAATATAAGCTATATGTTATGGTCTGCCCACTTACACTGTTGACTTCATCCACTAATAAAAGAGTAGGACTCTACAGAAACAGAGCAACGCCATAAAGCAACCTAATTCCAGGTAATTTTAGTTGCTCTGATAAACTCTTACCTTCTTTTTAGCAGTTACGGCCAGGCACAGTTTGAAATCATTAACATGTTCCACACATTTCACCTAGGCAACTTAGTATACACAAAAATATTCCTCTGATTAATGTGACAGTGTTACACTTCTGAAAGCTAGCTACTGAGCAACCCTGTGCCTGACAGAGCTACGCAGAATCAAGTGCACTGAAACACCCAAAGAGCAGACACCTCGTGTTGATACAGGTGGCCTATCTCCCTCAGCTGGAAGTGCTCTGAGAAGCTTGAACACAAAAACCAACCTGGCAATTTCAATTTCATTCTTCTAGTTTCAATAAATCACATGAAGACCAGCTCCAGAGAACCTCTATGCATGTGACAGAGGACACACATTCTTCTATACATCTAGGTGATTAAAAATATTTCCGGGACAAAAAGATGGAGAACTCCCAACACATGCTAAAAACGCTATACACAAAGAGGGGGGAGATTGCACTGCAAAGCCATGCTCCTGAAAACTGAGCACCCAACTGCAGGCCAAGCATAAAGACATGAACGGACTGCAAATGGAAGCTCGATGAGTCTCAGCATCAATCACAGCCTGCAGGTGTGTGCAAGAAAATGCATCCTACACTGATCAAAGCAAAAGCCTTCACAAAGCTAAGATTACAGCCCTTGCACATTGTGAGGAATCTTCCTCACAATCATTTTCAAAAGCTAAAGGCAGCACAACCAACTGAAAAAAGTAACACATGGCGAATGTCAAAGCCAATTTAAACATGCATTTTTATGTCACATAGCTTCCCGAAAATTTAACATGCACAGCATTACACAGAGACAGGCTTCAACTGCATGTAAAGCTTCCATAAGTTTAATCAATTTAAAGCAATTAGTAGATGTGTATGGCTGGCTTACATATGGCTTATTTTGGTTAACCTGAAATGGTTTAATAGTCTTACAATTAATAAGACTACTGTCTGCATCAGGTGATTTAAAAATCAAACTTATGCTGAAGCTTATGCTACACTTCCTACATCGTGTTAAGATAACAGCAATTCAGATCTAACAAATGCTTTCTATTTTTCTATCTTAGCATAGGAGCTTTCAAAGTGACAAAACCTAGTTATTCATAGTGGAAACATTGCAGGAAAGTGTTCCCTTCAAATTCCTGTTTTGATATAACGCATACTCAGCAGCAAGCACCCAATGTTTTATGACAACATCCTAATTAGGAGTTGGGAATGTTTGGCCACGTGACCTGAATGCCTTAAACTCAGTCATAAGAATCAAAGCCATTTATAGTCCATACTACTCATTTATAATTTCTGATAGCACAAACAAACTAGCCCACCCAATCCCCCAGACTGTACCCAACTGACCTGAAAACTGCAGTGGGCAGCGCTCTGCAAGCACAACTCTAGCAGCAACAGTACAGCTCTCCGAACCTCACATCCTGAAAATAATCTCTCAATGACCAGCAGACACCTGCAGCCAGCACATGACATGCCCAAAAACACCCAGAGAAAGTCCATTTTCCTCACATTCTCCACTAAAAAATAAAATTACATCTACACATCCGCTTTTAAATGTAGTACACACATGCAGACCTAGAAAGGCTTGAGTTGGAAGGGACCTTAAAGATCACCTAGTTCCAACACTGTGCTGTGGGCAGAGACGCATAAAGTCCAACAATGACCTTCGAGACCTTTACAGTAAAGAAGTTATAACTTGTTTTATTTAAATGAGCACATTTTTAGCAAGTTCTTAGAAGACAGCAGCTAAATACCGTGCAAAAAACATACACGCACAGCACTCCATTTTTCCAAATAAATCACTTCAGGTTTCCTATGTCTACTCATATCAAAAGCTTAAAGATAAGAAACAGAGCCTTCCAAAGCACAAGACCCAGAGCTCCAATTCTACTGTGCCATTTCAGCTGTGAACTGATGACAACAACTCCAAGTAACTGAGGATTTCCCCTCCATACGCGGCACTAGTGAGGAGACAACTTGAACACCGTGTTCAGTTTTGAGCCCCTCACTACAAGAAGACATTGAGGACCTGGAGTGAGACCAGAGAAGGGCAACAAAGCTGGTGAGGGCTCTGGAGCACAAGTCTTATGAGGAGCAGCTGAGGGAGCTGGGATTGTTCAGTCTGGAGAAGACAGCACCACAGGAGATCTTATTGCTATCTACAACTGCTGAGAGAGGCTGTGGCGAGGTGGGGGCTGGTCTGTTCTCCCCTGGAACTAGCAATAGGACTGGAGGAAACTTGTGCCAGGCAAGGTTCAGGTTGGATATTAGGAAAAACTTCTCAGAGTGGTAAAGCATTCCAACACGCTGCCCCAGGCGTTCAAGAACCACGCAGATGTAGCACTGAGAGACATGGTAGGGATGAGTTGGTGGATGATCTTGGCGGCCTTTTCCAATCCTAATGACCCTACAATTCCACAGTGTTTTGGATTTATTTCACACCAGTGCTTTAGAAAACATAATATCCCATTACACCAATGACCAAACCAGCAAAACAGAAGTTAAATATTTTGCCTGGTGTTACCTAGAAGGTAAAAGCAAGAAACTGATGACAATTCTTCCAGAATTCAATGCAGAACTCTTTCTATTTATGGATTCTTCTTTGGTGTACTTTGTCACTATGCATCCAGTACAATTTAACATCTTTCTTTCCACGTTCACCTTTTCACCATGTCAACATGTCAAAACACACAGAGAACACGCTAAAGATCTTCCAAAATGTTGCAGTAACAATTGTGAACAATAACCTATTCCAAAAAGACAGACAAGACTCATCACTCATCATCCACAAACCTGTATTTATGCTTGTTTCTGACAATAGCAGCCCCCTTTGACATTAAAACAAGTGCATATTTAGACACTACTGTATTTTTCTTGAAAGATATTTGGCCGTATCAGCAAGGAAGCAGAAGTCCCCACTCCCTTTTCTTTCTGCACAAAACTGCCAACAGCTTCACAAAGATTCCTCAGCCAAGTTTTGCAAGTTCAAGATCCTGCCTACTGTCTTTGCCATCTCTGCAAAACAAGCAAGAATACACTTCTTGTCCTGCCTTCTGTCATTTTTCGGAGGGGGGAAAAAACTGTGCCAACAGAAGGAAATCTTCCTTTTTTGACACTGGTTTCTAAACCCACACTAGTGTCTGGCCGGCACTGTAAGGCTGGCAGAGGCTTCACAAGGCAGACAGAGAAGGCAAAAGTTCTAGCAGGTGTCACCTGCCTTGTGTTTGTTGGCCGCATGTGCAAGGGTACAAAGAGGAAAGGAATGTACAAGAATGGCACTGTCTTCACTGGCTTAACACACCTGCTTACTGCCAAGGTGAACCACTGCCAATGAAACAGTTAAAAGACTAAAAAAATTCGTAGCATATATTTTATTTCAGTGGAAAGAACAGAACAAAAACACGTGGTTTATTCTCAGGAGGAAATACTGGCTTTCCAAATGAAAAGTTGACTTTTTACATTAACTTGAAATTACTTTTACCCAAGATGAAAATACACCGCATTTGTTTAACACAAATCTCCCATACCAAAACTTCACATCTGACACACTCATGTACCAAGAAGGCACATCGTGGATCGCTTTTCTGAGTTCTAATATCCTGCACAGAACAAAACTTAAGAGTCAGAATTAAACAACACTGTAAACACAACACGGGACCAGGCTGCAGCTCTGTTTTATTTCCACGCAGCGTACGCTTTGTGAGCTCAGCATTCTCCAAACTCTAAGAACAACCATTGTTTGTGCAGAACCAGATGGATCTACAAGATCTTTTTTTTAACCTTCTTCTTTTTTGTCTCGATAAACGTTTGCTGTTAGGTTTCCCCCAATTATCAGCAGAGATGCACGGTAAAATCCGACGGGCAGCCGAGCCGCAGCTCCGTCAGCAGGCTGACGGCTCACGGGAACGGCCGCGATGTTTCAGATCCGTTCCACAACGACTTGGGATCGGCCGAGCTCCGAAGGAAGGCTCAGCAACAATCCCGACTCATCGTTTAACGTTTTCTCCGCGCTTTCCCCAGGGAAACGCACCCACAGCCCTAAGTACATAGACGGAGCGGAGCGACACACCGTGTCACGCACGGGGCCGCCCGCCGTCCCTCCGGACACGCCGGTACAGAGGCGGACGGAGGCGCGGGCTTTGTCCGGGACCGCCGGCGAGGACGGGACGCCGGAGCCGGGGCCGCCGCCCGGGGTCTCCCGCCAGGCGCCCCCCCGGCCCCGCCCGGCAGCCCCCGAGCGCGGTACGAGGAGGAGCTCGGCAAGGCTCGGCACCGCCCGCCCCGCGCCGCTACGCCGGCACCCGCCTCCCCAGCGCCCGGCCCGCTCGCCAGGCCCGACCACCGTCCCCGGGGCAGCCCCGCAGCCCAGCCTGCCGCGGCAGCGGCAGACACCCCGCCCGCCCCCCGCCGCGCCCACCCGCTTCGCCGCGGGAACGGTTCGCGGCGCTTCCCTACCCAGAAGTTCTCCGCGAAGTACGCCATCGTCATCCCGCCGCCGCCGCCGCTGCCCCGGCCGCAGCTCGCCCGGCCCGGCCCCAACCGCCGAGACGCAACGGAGGAAGCAGGCGCCGCCGCCACGCGCCGCCCTTCCCGTCGCGGCGCTCCGCCTCCCTTCGCACGGCAGCACCGCCTCGCCTCGCCGCGCACGCGCGTGGGGAGGAGGCGGGCCGAGGAGGCTCCTGCGCGGGTGCCGCCGGGACCGCGCCCGGGATGGGGCGGTGCGTGGCGCGGGCATGCGTGGAGAGCGGCGTCGGGTGAGCGTTGCGGCGGTGGGGCTCGCGCGGGGAGAAGCGGCGCTTCGGGGCGGCGTTGGAAGCGTAACGAAACGCTGCGAGGCTTCGAGCAGGGGCGGTGAGCGCACCCGTGCTGTCAGGCGGCGCGCCTGCGGTGCTCCCACCCGGCTACCTGCGGTCCCGAGGCCTCGCCCGCGTCTTGCTGCCCCCTGTCCAAAAATACAGCCGAACGCTGAGCTTGCTCAGGAGCCAGTGCATCCACAACACCGCGGATAGTCTTTTTTTCGAAGTCCTTCTGCAGATTAAAGACCTCCGTCAAATCCAAATGGTTAGGAAAAACATAGTGCAGAAGATTACGGAAACACAGGCTTTAATTAGGAGGGAGAAAAAATACACAGGGCAAGCAAGACACCTAAATTAGTATCTCTTGTGCCTGTACAAGTGGCTGTAACTCATTCTGCCTTACAAATTTTTTTTTACTGAGGTAACTGCCCCTGGTAACTGCAATCAGCTTCGTACATTGCTCCCTGCAGCTCCACTCAGTGCTTCTCCCTCCAGCAGCAGCATCCTAACTTCAGTACATGCAAAGTTCCTACAGCTGCCAGTGCCAAGACAGAAAACCTCCAGACCCTTTACTGTAGTCAAAACTTGCTCAGAAGTCCCAAGGCTGTTAGTTCTGGATATCTCCATGATAGTTCCAAGCATGTGCACTATGGTTCTAAACAAGAAGCATATGCTACATTTAAGATAAACCACGTGTCTGCTGATAGCAGTAAGCTGCCTTGATGTTCCCGGCCTAAAGATACAAATGTAGATTTTTTTTTGCACTGTGCATTGCTATCTGTAAAAACATATACTGGAACCAGCAGAGAAGTTAAAGCTGCATGCTCGGAGCTGAAGGTTTTGATTTTCCATGGAACGTGTCTTCTCACAGAAATACATACTCTGCCATGATGGAAGGGGAATCAGGTTCCCATCTATAGTTTTAAGAAAAGACTCCAACTTCCACATTTTCAAAGGTATACAATAATTCCTTATCTATTGCTGCAGCAAGATGCAAAGCAGCTATCACACAAGCATCAAATCTGTCTGTGCTTTTTACAACAAAGTAAAACACAGAATGTTAGACCAAACTTCAAGGCCTCCTGTAGCGTAGGCAGTTATCTAGAAGACCACTTTCATAAGGCTGAAGGTCAGGATCAGTGCTTATGTTCTTAAGACACGCTGAAATTCTCCACAACAAAATGATTTTCTTCATAAGTGAACTTTCTCTTGAACTCCATATGCAAGTTACAAAAATGAGCTCTAACAGCAACAAAGAGCTGTTTTCAAAATGTACCAACTGCAAATCTTGTCTCTTATTGTGTGTTTACAGTAGCATTTCTGAAAAAGTGCTTGCTGAGGCCTGTTAAGCAGACTGCTTGTTTGAAGACAAGGCTGGATAAGGAAATCCAAGATTTTTTATTATTTTTCTTAAAGAGCTCATGGTATTATGTTATGAACTGAAAAATTAGCTCGTGTGCTACGATGTCAATGTCCAGTCACTCTCTACAGTTTATCAGACAAGTTTCTTGCCTAATACCTAAGCAGCAAGAAAGTTATTAGCAAAAATAAGCAGTCAGTGTCTTGCAAATTCAATTTCAAATTTGGCATAAAGACACATTTAGCGGGGCGATGGGAAAGGGATTTTATGCGCTGTTTCAGTAATGAGGCAATTTGTTGAGATCTTTCTGCAAGAGAGCTGGACAAATTTTCAAGGTTTCTCAGAGAAATCCATAATGGGTGACTGACTGCAGAACCTAATATTGTCATTCAATTCTGAAAGCCTGTGAAAAAACTTTGCAAAAATATTGCTTATAGTTCTTATCTCTTCCCTAAGTGTTGGTTTACAGTGGTTGCCAAGGAAGGATACTGGGTTAGTTAGCTGCTGTCCCAGTACAATTGTTCCTTTATTCTTATAGCATAATGGGAGTGGACAAAAAGGAATGCTATTCTGATAGCCGTAACTGTATGTGAGTCTTGCAGAATAAAACAAATATTCCCACTGAATACTATCACAAGCTCTCATGGAAGGTTCAAGTAATTTTCTGGATTAATATTACATATGTATTTATACTTCAGAGTTTAAAAAAGCACATCCTCTCTCGTTTTTGTCACCTACATAAGGTTGAAGTACCATAACAGTATGAAGAGGAAAGCAGATTTCTTGGCTACAAGGTGGCCCATCACGGGGATCTGGACAGACAGGATCCCCACTAGACTGAGGCCAGTGGGATGAAGCTCAGCAAGCCCAAGCGCTACGTCCTGCACTTGGGCACAGCAAATCCCAGCAGTGCTGTGGGCTTGAGGCCGAGTGGCTGGAAGACTGTGTAGAAGAAATGGCCTGGGGGTGCTGGTCAACACTTGGCTGAACATGAGCCAGCAGCATGCCCAGGTGGCCAACGAGGCCAGTGGCATCCTGGATTGGATCAGAAGTAGTGTTGCCAGCAGGAGCAGGGAAGTCATTGGCCTCTGCACTCAGCTCAGGTGAAGCTGCACCTCAAGTAGTGTGCTCAGTTTTGAGCCCCTCACTGCAAGAAAGACATCGAGGGCCTGCAGCGTGTTCAGAGAAGGGCAACAAAGCTGGTGAGGGCTCTGGAGCACAAGTCTTATGAGGAGCGGCTGAGGGAGCTGGGATTGTTCAGTCTGGAGAAGACGAGCACCACAGGAGATCTTATTGCTATCTACAACTGCTGAGAGAGGCTGTGGCGAGGTGGGGGCTGGTCTGTTCTCCCGTGTAACTAGCAATAGGACTGGAGGAAATGGCCTCAACTTGTGCCAGAGGAGATTCAGGCTGAACATTAAGAAAAAGCTCTGAAAGAGTGGTCAGGCCTTGTACAGACTGCCCAGGGAGATGGTGGAGTCAGCATCAGTGGAGCTGTTCAAGAAATGTTTAGATGTGGTACCGAGGAACATGGTTTAGTGGGGAAATAGTGGTGGTAGGGAGATGGCTCAGACTGGATGACCTTGGAGGTCTTTTCCAACCTTGGTGATTTTAAGATATTATGAATAGTTATTTTTCATTCATACTATCTTCACTTTTATAAAACAATGCCATTTGGCATTAATGCAGATCACATACATGTGAAAGCAAGTCTGCTTATATTCCTTTCTCAGAAAAGCATCTGTGATTCCAGTTTGCTTTCTTCATCTCAATTTACCTATCCTCTTGTATTTCCATCTTCTGATTTTTTGTGTGTTAAAGCTAACTATTTTATACAGTCTTTTTAAGGACTACAGATTATCTGAGAAATCGCACTATAACAGATAGGGCTTACTGGCAGAACTTTTGAAATACAATACGAAAGCTATGGTGCATCTAGACTACTAACTTTAATATAACTGAAAAACAGAAGTTATATATTGCATTCTACCATGGAAACTAAGTTAATTTGCTTTATGTGTAAGCCATTTGATAATCGATTATGAATTCTAGAATAACTGGATTATGAAGCCAGAATAACTGCATGCAATTACTGGGTATACCTTTGGTACAGGAACCTACAAGTGAAGATGAAAACAGAATGAAGAAACCAAATAACTAGAATTGAATTAGGCAGTTGTTACATTACTTAATGTCATAGTGAAATGCCAAAGAGATAGTTGATATTTTAAAGTGTGCATTAAAAATTACTAAGAAACCAATGCAGGTATAACACATAATGTCACACTGTGCTACGATTTAAAGAGAAAGTGAAGATGGAGTCGGAGTTATCTTATCCCAGTCAAATACATACCAGATTGAAATACGCCTTTGGAATGCATTTGCTTTTCTTTCCTAAAACTATTCCACAAACGGTCCTCATAAAGAAACAAGAATTTACGCTGTCAGTTCAGACAGATTACAAAAGGATATGAGCACCAGAAGGAGATAAAAAACACAATTGTTTTTGTTGTTGTTGTTTTTACCACTGTAGTGGAGACAACAGATGTGGAAAGAGGAAGACAGTGAATTGCTAGGAAAATCTCTTTCATAGATCATTTAACTGTGGTAAGGATTAAGTTCTGTTGTAGAATCTCAAAATCAGCAGAGCTATATTCTAGCCACACAAATGTACCTGGCTGGCTGCAGACACTACCTGAAAGCTTAATAATTCACTTGCTTATAACCTAACTGGCAGAGATTTATTGCAGCCTGTTTTTTTTGTTTGTTTGTTTTAGTTCAGAAGCCACAATGAAATTTCATACACAGTAATAAAGGTTAGAAAAACCTAAAAACTTAAATTAAAATCTGGCCAGTGGTAAGTTACTCAAAGAGCACTGGAAATTCTCCAGCACAGTCTTAACACATACCCAGTCCTTTTCTGAAATGTATGCATGAACTGAAGCTCTCCCCTGATGAGTGATCGCAGGTGAGATTCTGGCACAGACTTCAATTCTGGGCAGAGTGGATGTTTCTGTTATTTCTGAACTTAAGAAGAGTTGTGCATACAGAGCTATAGATCATCACATCTATTACAGTAAGAAATCAGCTGAATGTTTGTTTGTTTTTTCCAGCTTGTGGTAGCGGCTCTCTCAAATCTAATAATGACTTCTACTCTGTTGAACCATTCACTACCAAGCTTCAACTGCACTGTTTTCAGCATCGCTGGAATGATGTATTCCATTAGGCTGCATCACCCAACTCACTGTATACTTAAAAGTGCACCTCTATTGATTTAGTCACCACGCTTGATCGCATCCCATTCATTACTTTAATTACTTGAATTATGAACCCAACAGCATTGTTTCAGAGTGAGTCACTGAGTACCAATACTCCACCTTTATTAGTCTTCCGCTTGCACTGCCAAAATCTTGTTTCATCAGATCAGTTAAGCTGACGGAAGCGTAA